ATCGAACACTGTTATACATAAGAAGACCAGTGTATTGCGATTTGACCTCTTCTAATAATTTGACAAACAGTCGATTGTTTAGTGCTCTAGATGTTATGAAATTGACAATTTTTGTAACAGTTTCCATTACTTTTTGAAGCGATTTCATACTATCTTTTGCACACAACGCTTCTTGGTGTATAATACAGTGAAAGTTGATGATAAGATACGAAATTTCATTGGAAAAAGTTTAATAAATCCATTGTGTTTACCAACTATATTTGGAGCGCCGGTAGTAGTTATTGAAACAATATTTTGAATATTGATTTTTAAATTTATAAACTCTATGTATTTCAGTCATATCACGACCAATTGTTCTAGTAGAAATTGTTATTAATTTTATTAATTCTTCTTTCATAATATTAACCTTAAGAAATCGAACAAAAATTGCTAAACGAGCCTGAGAAGTTACATCTATACTTTCAACAAGACAAATCGAAAAAAAGTCTGCTGAAGCTAAATCAGTTTGAAGCTGATTTGATATATCACCACTCATACATAAAATTCGTTCTTTAACAGTATTTCTACTATTAGATAAATCTTGAATACGTTTTATTATTTCATTTTTATTCGCAAAATCATGAAATAAAGTATTTGATGTTATTAAAAAAACTTCTTTTATGTATTCTCCATCGGAAACTGGTTTACCATGCTGTGCAATACAGTGGGATACAGAAAAACTAGCAGCTCTTAAATTATTATTTGATTTAAACGCAGCTTTGAAATTATTTGATTGATTTTTAAAACGTTTCAATTTTTGTGAAATTAATTCCAACTTTTCTTCAGTTGATAATATGTCTGAAAGAAAATATGTCCATATGAATTGTTTTAAAACGTCTTTTTACATTAAAACTGCGACTAACTACTGTTTCATTACATAAACAACATAACACTTTATTATTTTTTTGAACTACAGTATAATCTATGGTCCATTGTTCGTGAAATGATCTCCCACTTTTACTTTTTGACATCATTTATTAAAAAATATAACCTTTGAATTATTATAAAAAGAACACTCACCAATAATGAAAATAGCCAAAACGATACATTTAGACTAATCAAAGGCAATGATAAAACACATGAAACACATTCGATTCGACGAATGAGTAATAACTAACAATAGCCGTGGACCAGTTTTACACGTTATATCCATTTTATTAAGATACACCTAATAAAGTACTTATCAAATAAGATTTTGTTAATGAAAAGTAATAAAATTAATAGTTGTTGAACAATGTAGATATTCAATTCAATGCATGTAGGTATAATACCATAAACATATTATTTCATTTTTGTAATCTCAATTTAATTTTAGTTTACATCCCATGGTTTTTGATGACAAACTTTTACACAATTGCATGTGTTATTATAATAGTGTGAACATGTTACTCTGTGACACGCGTGTCATAGGTTCGCCATCCCTGCTATATAATATGTAAGCAATACACTGGTCTCACAGATAATGAGTTTATTTTATAAATACTACCTTCTTGTTATTCTTTGTTCGACTCTATTCAACGTAGTAAGTTACATATAATAAAAGACATTATATAATATCATTGGTTACATTTATTATTTGTAATCACTGAAAATATGCACATGCTACATTTTTTCAAAGAAAATTATGTATTTAAAGAAAAAAAATTGTATTTATTTTTAATAAAGATATAATATATAATAATACAATGTACCTACACTTTGTATTACCCTATTAATTGTACGTAATACTACTTAAGAATTGAAGGAAGTGGAAGTACAAAGCGATCGTTTTTCTTTTTAGACGTGCTTCTAAGTATAATTATTTTTTTTTTTTTTTAAGTAATTTTCTTGAAAAACAAATAATTGTTAATTTTTCAATATTAATTGTTTTATTTTGTATGGTTTTATTAATTCTTTTTAATTAGTTGAGTTTTATTAATTATTTTATTAAACACGATAAGTTTATACTACTTTTGTCGACAGTTTAACTCTAATTTTAATAAGTATTATTGCTTGTAATATACATTTTTTTAATTTGAAATTAAAAAACGTTATTATAATATAATTAGGCATGTGCTACGGACGAATAATTATTGAATTTCACTGATACTCGCAGGTGAAAAATGTATTTTAACTATTATTTAGCTTATTATTTGTTTGATAACTATGAGGAGCTAACATTAATAAATTTATACATAATTTTTTTGTTATTCAGCAAATTAGTCGCATTAATCATTATTATTTTCTAATTTTTAGATTTTGATCACCACCTATCTCCTCGAAGTGTTTATCTTAGAATGGTGATAGGAAACATAAACGAACCAGTTGCTTAGTTATTAACAGATATATTCTTAATACCTACGTTATTATTCGTAAACATTATGTTTAGTGAAAACGGGATTTCAAGTGAAAAAAATTGAACTTCTAATTTTAACAGAACAAAGACATTTATCAAAGAACCGTCAAGTTCGTTAGAGGCTCTACTGTATTTGTACAACATAATATGCTTGCACATAGGGATAAATCATCAATATAATATACACGTATACGCATAGCCATTGTCGTCTTGTTGATATATAAATTATAATATACCTACGTCACGCTGCTGATACTTTGTTCGAGCTCGTGTCATATTATTATTATTATTATTGTTGTTATTATTATCATTATTATAAGTGGCGTGCGCGAGACGTATTGCCCAAACAATCGAATTATTGTGGATATTATTACTGCGTACGTCCGTATAGCGGAACAAATTGCGCATTGTTCGGGATACACGTACACGTAAATGTGTGTACACATGCACACAGTTATCGATTATATTCATCGCTGTAACAGCCAAAGGTCCGACCATAGATGTGTGTGAGATGTATAAAATAATATACTTAAACGGTCGTTCCATCGGAGTACCTAATAAATTATTAACTCCGTTGATGGATAAAGCGTCAGAATCTATTTAGTCGAAAATATGGTCGTACACATACGCTACAGCGCCGTAGCAGCCAAGAGGCGTACACAGAGTGGTGATGTCTCGCAATGCTGATCTCGAAATTTTCATACGTGAACCAAGTATACATATAAATACAACTTTTTTTTTTTTAAATAATTTTTTCTTTTAATAGTTTTATCATTTTTTATTTTTTATTTCAAGCTCCGTGACACAGAATATTTGAAATATTTATACACAAGTCGAATACCGATTACTTAGGTAATTAATTCCGATTATTTAATAACCTTAAACAATGAATTGATCGTTCGACATTTGTTTTTGTGCGATGTAATGATCTTTTCGGATAAATGTTTTGTTCTATGATATTAAAAGCACACGAAAGAAATAAAAACAGTTATACAATTTACAAGAAAATAAGAAGGGATAAAATTATAATTTTTTTTTACAAATGTGTCGTATAGTAGGGTATAACTTTAAATTATATGAAAACAACACATACTAAAATCGACGGAGAAAATCAGTTCTCTACAGAAAAAAAAATTTAAAAAATATACCCAGTATAGAATAAACATTTGCAAAAATCGTCAACATCAATTTTGACGAACTGCAGTCAAAATAACATGATAGTAGTGTAAATAAAATAATATTGTAATATGATTGTAGTATGATACATGCATTTAATATATGGCGCGATTGAATTGGCTCTCAAAATCAGATAGTCAGTAATTTTTCATTTTCATTGGCTCCCAGAAATTTACTATTGAATTAGATCTTTGCAATTTATTTTGTATATTCATTGGTTACCAAAATATTAGAACATCATTTTGAGATGCTAAATCATATACATCAGACATATATTTTATACAGACGTACAATTAAAGGAGAACAATTTAAATATTATTAAAACTAATTTATACTTACCACCCGCAAGTGCACTGGCATTTGAATTCAAAAATCATTATTATAAAATACGAAAACCGATATAACAGCATTTGTAGCAAGCATTTGTCATATTATAGCTCACGTAGAAGGTGTTAGAAGGATTGAGATAATATCTAAATGTAATATTTATTTTCTCTAGTCATGACATTTTGACTGTAAAAATTAAACTTTAATCTTTAAACAATAATTTTTACACAATATTTAGGAGCCAATTCGTATGCGCCCCTAATATAGTGTAGTGTTTATAATATAAACTTTATAGAGACCAAAGTTATTGTTAATTTAATTTAAATTAAAATTTATTTTGTTTAAAAAATTAAAATCATAAACGATAATAATGATTAAGGGCATACATTACCTAGGTAGATATGTGTGTGTATATTTACATACACGATGGGTCATTCAACAGGTTAGGTTGTCATCGACAAGTCGAAATTAATTCCAAATTCGGTAGCGTATTTCAGTGCATTAAACGCGCACATAACGCTGCAATGGTGTTTTATTTTAAGGCGAACACTACATGTTAGCATTGTTTTCACTCGATTATTATAATAATACACTTCCGTAAAAAATAACACGTTCGTGTCGCTTGAGTTTAATATGTACAAGCGATATGAGATTCCATATTTTCACTTAAAGTAAACGCGTCATCCCCTTATAAATACATATTATTTCAATAATAACATATTAACATACATTATAACAGTATGCGTATAGTGAGTCTAGGGCTCGTACGTACATAAAACTTGATCCTTCTGAATTATGTATACAACATTCCTTACACACACACATATTTATATTTATATATTGTATTATGTATTTATAGGTGTATACGAAACGTATTGATGTTCGTAAATCCGGAACATTGATTATACGCGAACGCGCACGTAGTACGTATTACTCGTCTATATATGTATATAATATATATACATACTTATATAATACTATTACGCAGTCAAAATGTAATGGAGAAAATTCCCTACAATAAATAAAAAGTATACACATAATATAGGTGTACTGCGCACAGGTATGTATTATATCGTTTTGAGTTTTAAAAAGACGAGATGGGAAAAGAAAAACACGGGGAACATTTTCATCAAGTTTGCAAAATAGCATTATATCAGCTATATACTATATTATTTTTATTACGATGTTATAAACCACCCACCCACACACACACATAGGTACATTCTTGTACATGTTTCGATATAAATATTAATTACATCATAATATTTTAGTTTATTTATTTTCTTACACACACATACATATATGTATGTAAGGATATACTATAATATGTATAATGCACCTATATATGTATATATTATAAAATACAGTTATCTTATAGTCATACTCGTCGTGGCAGGTATTCTAAAAAGTATGTTATACAATAAAAAAATAATAATAGAGTTATTAAAAAGAATGTAAATTATTATTATTTTATTGATTTTGAACAAAATTTACGAATTAAATTGTCTTGCTTGGGCATGTTATATTATGAATAGTTATCGTGATCACAGGACAATTTTTTAAATGACGTAGTTATAGTTGCCTGTAATGTACGTAAATAGTACACAGATAGAAAATACACGCGTGACACAATATTATAATAATATATATAAAATGTAATAGTGGTCAAAACGAGCCGTATATAATATATCAATTATAATTATGATATTATTGTTATATATATTATACTAGTCTGAACAAAAAATACGATCATCTACTTATAATAATACGTACCGTTGAAATATTATTTAATATTATATAATCTTAAACCGAACTAAATTTTTTGTAAGCCTATCTATACAAGTGAATATCTTACAGTAAATATTACACATTTTGTGGTCATCGATTAGAAAATGAGAAAAAAAAATACAATACACAAATTGAACAAATATAACATTTCATCGATGGGTATACGGGACAGACGTGGAGCGAGGAAGGGATGACTGTGATTTCGGAATGAGCGGTGAAACGTCATTATATATGTTATGCGAGTATAGTAAATTTCGGCGTGCGAAAGATATGTTGTAGTAAAGGGATACGATTTTCGAGTCATGTCACACGCGCGCGTACACACACACACACACACACACACACACACACACACACACACACAAAATACACACAAACATACACGCGTACTGTAGTATACATCTGTGTGACATATAGGTTAGGTATACGAGTGCGAGATAATAGGATTGTTTGGTAGAGAGTAATGAGAAAAGGGGGGGGGAGAGATAGGAGTGTAGAGATATTATTACCACTTGAAATGTTCTTGTGGCGGACAGTCTTTTGCGCTCCCGCACCATTTAGTCTGCAGCAAAGGCGGACACTGCCGACCAGCTCCTCTCGGGTGTTTGATCACTTCTCGGCGTCTCTGCATCTCGCCGATACCGCACGACACGCTGCACGCACTCCACTCGGACCAGTCACTTAGCCGGCAGTCCCGGTACTCTGCGGGCAACAAACCACCCGTTCATTTATTCAATACGTACAGTATATTTATATATTTCTGTGGAATATAAGGCACTGTCTATAGGAGAAAATATTAGAACGGGCTAAATAATTTTCACTATACTCGTGTTTTGTACACGTGAGAGAAAAAATACAGTTGAGAATACACTAGGGGCTCGTGGAGTTCCACGAGCACTTATTTATTTTATTATATTACTTGAACACATCTGAGAGCGGTTAAATCCCTTTAAACCCGTCCGTCTATCCTTTTTGTGCCACCAAAATGTTTATAAGCACCAGCTGGTATTTCCGAAGGGTATGACGATTTGCATTAATGTGAAAATACAAACATTTTGCTATCGTATAACTAAAGTTTTAATTTTTTCGGACGGAAAGGAGCTAGGCTATAGTACTCATATTCGGATCGGATTCTATAGCTTAATATACTCGTATGACCGTAATATTACATGAATATATGTGGAGCTGTAGCCAGGATTTAATGGATACAAGAATTGTGTCTGTGTTCAAATTGTCAAATGCGAAATTCTTTTAGCCGGTGGTTAACGACCCATTTAAGAGAGGAAAAATCGGCATGCTCAAAGCAGAATAATAACATTTTAGAGGCAAAAAAAATGTTGGTAAAATTATAAACTACTTCTTTGTTGTTGTGTAAAAGCACAAAAATTATATACTACCACTAAGTAAATATTTATATAAGTTTTGAATATTCTCATTGTAATATGACAGTGGGTGGTAGTAAGGAGAAAGTTTGAAAATATTTTATTTGGTCGTTAAGTATGTATAAATGCGCCACTATCACAATTTTTAGTACAATACGGAATACAGATTGGAGCAGTTTTGAACTTTCATACAATATTTATTGTTTGATTTTACTGTTTATACATGTGATATGGATAAATTGAATTTCAAAAGACATATTTGGCTCATTTTACCTTACAAAAAAAGGTGTTATAAATTATTTTAGATAGAAAGGTATTCAGAGAAATCAAGTCTGAATAACCAATATATTCAATATATTCATTCGAATTAGTAATAAATGAATCATAAAAGCGTCAAAATAAATTATAAAAAAAAAAATCTTATAATATTTTTGATAAACGAATTAATATATTTTTTAAAGTTTTTTTAAGCTACAGTAAAAACTATTCAGTTCAAAAATTACATGTATAGATTTAGTACACAATTAAATAACTTAAGTTATAAATAATGAAACATTTAAATATTACTATATTTGATAGAAAAAAGAATGAATATTAATAATTATAACAATAGGTGGTATTATAAAGGTGAAATATAGATAATGGAATGAATCATTCATATTATCAATATGTTATTATCAATTAAGGAATGGATATAGATGAAGTTAAATATAATTGCTTAAAGAATTTCGATAATAAAACTATTAGCGAAGTATTAATAGATTTTAAATCGTTGAGAATTTTCTTTAACTGTTTATCCTACGGTTTTTTAGTTAGGTGTTCAGCACCAAAAATAGCAAGTACGTGAGAAGTGGACTTAGGATTTGAACTTAAATTTGTATTTAAAGGATATAAAGATTTGTGTTTTTGTATGAAAACCGGATTGATATTCGCAGAGTGATTTAAATAACGGGACGAATACTTAAGTATGATCGAGTAGCTTTGAAAGAGAATTTTATTTATATCAATCGTACTTGATAACGAATTTTTGAATAATGTAATATCCTTTACGTTTTTAACATAGATCGGAGGAGGGAGAGTTGTAGAAGGACTTACGTGTAGCTGGTTTGAAATAGTATTATAGATAGCACCTGATGAGCTGTTATCACATAACGCGGGAAACATATCGTTATTAGAATCGTCTTCAATTGATAGAGCTGCAAACCAGTTTGGTGACGTGAATAACTTTGGCTTTTTATCGTTGTGTAATGATGAATTTACGGTCGAGAATTATGATATAATACGCTTGATATTTGAAATAGAAGAATCATAGGTTTTTCGACCAAATTTTGGAAGAGAATCACTTTACCATTGGAATTGTAAAGAGTAGAGAGTTTTTTGGTAATATGTATTGGGATATCACTACAGTGTTAGTTATAATACTGAGGTTCATTTCCATAGCCCATAGTGTGCGTAATGACGCTTTCCTTTAAACTTTTCACTAACAACGGAAAGTACATCGGCATACGTGTGCACTTCACAAACAATATGTATACTAAACATAATCTGTATTTTATATACGTTTGTTCACAAAAATCAATCGTTTGTTCATAGAATTTTGAATTTAGGTTTTAGACTTTGAATATGTACGTTTTAGATAACAATAAGACTTTAAAGCTACTGATACCTTAATTAAATTGAGATAGTAGAAATATTTAGGATTAAAGTATTACATTTTTATCCAAAATAAATTAACAAATTGTTCATAATCATACATATTACTTAAATGTAAATAGTTTTTGATCAATGAACTTATCACGTCTAAGGTTAAGTTCAAGTTGATTCTATTCAACAAAGTCGTTTACGTTAAACCGTACTCATTTCAAAATAGTATGCTTTCTAGAAATCCGTTGAAAGGAATGTATTTTAAAAATGTGAAGTAGTGTCTATACATAATATATTAATCCATATTAATCTTAATTAATGTTAACCTATATTAAGGATGTACGATAAAAAATATCCGAATAAATAGGAACGTAATTTTATAACATAATGTTGATCAGCCAGTCTCCACCGACGGTAATATACATTCGGGATAATAATTAAGATAATTTATCGTTAACGGACAGGAGGGTAGTGCATTCTCGTCATCAACTCCCGGATCCAGCCTAGAATAAGTGTTTACCTGGTTGTTCCTCGTTCGACTCCACGAAACCAATAATGCATTGTTAATTAAAGTAATAATAATATCATAACGTGTAATTAATTATCGCGATCACTCAACCCCACTGGTGCGGTCGTTTTGTTATTAAGACAACTAAAACTTATAAGAGGCACCACGATTTCGTAGCTGCGATAACGTGCGTAAGTTAATACACCGGTTCAAAAAAGTTTTCGCTCGCTCGGACGAAAACAATACTATTATTATATAATATATTATTTGACGCAAACATCAATCATTATTCTATAATTAAAGATCGGATTTTGCATAAAATGCATGTTGCTATTTTCAATATTATACACATGCAGTCAATGAGTGTCTTAGTATTTTATTTTAAGTTATGTTCGTTATTTTTACGGAGGTCGAACACGAACTGTTGGAGAAATTTTTATTGATATTTTTCATGTATTATTACTACATAAGTTTGTATGTTATCTCCACTTCATTTTGATATACAATTTAGCAATTAATTCGTAAACAATGTCTATTGACTGTATATTATTTCAACCAACATTTAAAAAAAAAGTAATTTATTTTTATTTTTCTGGTATTCAATTACAGTAGATATAAATGTATTTATAAATAGGTAATCAAATATTGGCATCGTATATGTTCTTACAAACATTTATTTGAATATTTTTACAATTTCTAAAATTTTTATCATTTCTATAATTTAACAAATTACACTTCCGTATTGCATATTTGCATCTTATTTTTGTTTTTGAAAATTTTAATAAAATTAATAAATAATTATCACTGCAAAATTAAAATCGAATATAAAATTTAATAAAAATTGAAATTTTATTTTGAATATTTTGTATTTTTTCTTGCATATTTTATAATTTAAATTGCATATAAATGCGGTCTTTTCTGTATAATTCTGTTTATTATAATTTATTATAAACATATTATACAGTATGTTCGATTAAATAATTTATTATATTATTACGAAAATAAGATTAACGAAGTGATATATAATATAACGTTTTTAAAAAAAGAAAGTTTTTTGTGTTAAAGTTCAAGTGAACATTTTTTTTCTTTACATTTCTTTGCATTTGCAGAAAATACAATTAACGAGTACGCGTTTTTTTTAATTAGTTTTCTTTTTTGTGGGATGCGTTTCTATAAAATGTAAATATAAATTAAGTATCTATAGTACACAGTTTCTTAATTTTTTCTCTTTAACGATTTAAATACATAGAACTGATGTGAATTTACACATACACTTAATCATATTTCTCAGTAAAATAATTTGTTATCGGATCTGATGATTTACTTTCAGATATTTTGATTAACAATCAACAGTTTCTGTTTAAACTAAGGATTATTTTTAGTTGATGGTTGTGATTAGAATTAAAAAACTATGAGCGTAAAATGAATAAATGTTACGTATACTACTGTATAATACTGTTGTGTATTCATTTACGTGATTAATTTTTCAAATATTTTAATAATTTTAAAAGTTAGGCTCAATATATATTAACGTAAAAATGTTCTATATGTCTCGTAATGTTTTTAATATAAATATGTATTAAGCATTAAATTCAATCGCAAATTAAGTATTATAATTGTTTTACAATGTTGATTTATAATTCATTTTAATTTTATATATTATATATAGATACATGTTTTTTTCCTTTTTTAATATTACTATCATTATGAATTTAATTAATATTTTAATATTTGTATCAATATTCACAAAAAAAGAAAAGAAAAGAGAAAAAGGTTATTAGTTAATCAACATGATTGTAAATCACAGTTGCTGTATTCATTTTTTATAAAGGGTAATACTCGCTTATTATACAAATAATAAAATCATATCTAAATTATTGACTTAACGGTTATCGCCGTTTTAAGTAGGCCCCTATGGTCATGTTCAATATATTTGCTAATATTTTTATGTTTATGGTTTGTTGAAAATAATAATGCAAAATAATCACTTGATTTTTTGTGAGCTTTCTTGTGTTTTCGGACATGATAACTGTCCAAGATGCTGTTCATCAACGCTTCTTTGTTGCCTTTCGGTATCAATACTGATGATGTCACATTGGCGACCAAAACTTTGTTATCGTTAACACTGTAAAATAAATATTTATACAGATTTTAATTTATAACATAGTTTTAATATGAATAGTACACATATGAAGTATACATCATAATACCTCATCTCAGATTATAATAATACATTTCAAAATAATCGTGCAATATTTTTTTTACATATCACTCAGCCTAACGACCAAACTCCACACAAAGTCTGGTATATATTTATACCTTAACGGGACCTAATTTAGCGAGTGTGATGTATGTAGTAATTTTCGTTAAAATTCTAATACGATTTCACCAAGAAACGTTTGACGTTATATTATGAAATATACTAATTGGATTGAAAGACTGACTTTTTCCATATTAATTGTATCTGATCGGTGCATAGTACACAAATTGAATAATAATTATAATACTATAACCAAAATAATTACAGTGTTTGTCACCTTTTATAGTTATTATACTCTTGTTCTCGTCTCTGCTGTTCCATTTCAAGTTGTACTTCACGATCACTATCGCTGTCACCGTTCAAAACTTTAATGACACTTTCTTCGATTTTTACTGTCGGGTCGGAGGCCTGTCCTCTACCGCCTAAAGATTGCTCGTATTCTTTGATCTAACACAATAAAAAAAAAAAAAAAAAAAACATAAATACACTGCGGCACAGATGAAAATTCAACTATATTTTATTAACACTGAAATTTTACTTTAATAAACTGAAATGTTGCTATTGTTGGTAACCGATTAAACTGTGGATAGTAGAAAGAGCTGGCTGGATGTGACGGATAGTTGCTTTTTATTCGGTATATAATGCCCTGAGGATCAGTGGGCCAGTTTGGTGCTGTAAAGGTAAACCCGTTATCACATCCTGCGTCCATTGGATCAGCCTAAAAAATGACATTGCACAATTGAAAACAAATCGTAAAATAATAAATGAAAATTAAAATTAACATTTTTAATAAGTAAATGTTCGCATTTCTGTTAGAATATGAAAACGTTAAAAAAATTGCAATAAAAATAAATGTCAGGATAGTATCATATATGAAATACATGATAAAATTACGATTAAATTATGAGTTAAATGTTAAAAGTATAATAAAGTGATTTCGCCTAAGAATATATTCTTAAATACTAGAAAATATTACTAGAAAATATTTAATTGTTCATTAAAAATGTTTGAAAAAAGATTTATTTAAGACACTATTTCCATAAAATTGGTAAGAATTTTCCACAAATCATATTATGGTATGCATAAACTAATAATTTATATTGAAATTGCATATTTTTATTTTACGTTATCTTATTAATATTCTTATCTTGTTACCATGAAGTACTTTATTTAAATACTATACAAGATTTTGCTTTTCTGGCATCAAGTAAAAATCGTTATTATAAAATTATTAAAAAAGAAAAAGAAAAAAATTATGTGTCATAGTCCGTATGGGTTATACAGCATCGATATATAGATATATATATATATAATTTTATTTTCTTAAACTTTATATACGTTACCGGATGGTTGGATTACAGCCGAGTCTAAATACAGTGCAGAAGTATGTACAACAAAATCGAGCAGATGACAACTTAAGGAGAGTCAGATGTTGTTTTTATTATTATTATTTTTTATTTATATTAATACTTTTTGACATATAATTAATTCTTTTTTTCAGTTCAAGCAATATAAGAATTTAGTAAACTGGAACTGTTAATAACAAATTTATAAAAATAGAAAATAATAATGTGGTCCGTATAATAATAATTAAATTACATATACATTTTAGGTTCTGAGTGAAATGAGGAATTTATTGGTTGTATTATGTTTTTTTTTTTTTTGTGTGTATGTGTGTTTGTGTAAACGATTTCGTCCAGAGGCACTGATTATCACAATCATAAGAAAGTTTTGTTAGAAAATGTTGTCTAGTTGGCATTTTAAAAGGGTTATTTTATAAACTTCTCAACAGTTTTCTAATTAGTTGCAAAAAGTTATAAAAATACGGCATAATAAATGGCATATCAGTTTTTGACAAAATCAATTTTTTGTTTTTTTTTTTTAACTAAAAAAATAATTATCATAGATACTTATGTGATATTTTTGATGAATACATATTTTAGCGTTTTATATAGTTGACATAATGTTTAAAAAATTTATTTTTATTTTAACTATTTAAAGAAAATTGAAATATTCATGTTTTGTTAAATTTTTGTCTAAAATGTCGATAAAATAATTTTAGTTTTATAAAAAATCATGAAAACATATTACAAAGTAGCTCATAGATTTTTATTAATGGTAAAAAAAATTTTTGGCAAAACGATAAATACCACTAAAATCCGATATATTTTTATATAAAAAATGCATTCAATTTTTCAGTTTTATACTTAATGCTTGAAAATTGGATACAAGGATTACAAAAAATAAAAAAATAAAAATGACTGGAAATTCTAAAAAATAATTTATAAGTGTAATAAAATGAAATGTTGACGAAATCAAATAACGAATTTCCATTTAAAACGATATAAGTTATTTAATTAAATACATTAAATAGTTTCAGAATATTTTAATTAAGTTTATGTTGCTAATGTAATAACCCAAAAATACAAAAAATAAAATAGGAGAAGTAAGGTGAGAGGGAGATGGTATATATGTGAATGGCGGCGAGGTATTGATGGGTTGTTACCTTCCTCCTTGTTTAAGGGAGGGATCTCAGGGTTGAGAAGGTTCGAGAGCCGATCAGCGCAATTATGCAGTCTGCCAAGCCAAATAAAGCAGCACTTACTTGTTGTACCGTAGACCTTCAGATGTCGATGTGAGGTTGAAAAAGAAAGGACAAATGCAGAATTTAATTGCACTAGAATCGGATACTCTTCAACACTTGTACGAATAACACAAGTCGAACGGATCAAAATTAAAATTAGTCAAAAATAAATCGCACGTATGAAGAGTTTATCTTATGATCGGTGCGCATGCACTGACGACCTAAGATCAAGAGCTCTGTGAAGGGTGGTGTGTGTCCCTGTTATACAGGCACATGCGGCGGCATGGACCTTGGGCCTGTCCTTTGAATGTAGGGATGTCAATAGTATTTATTGTTCGACCCGTGTCGTTCGCGCGGGTATCGAAGATACCGTTATTTATTTATTTGAAAAGGTTTAAAAATAACGTACATATAAATAGTATACATAATAAAATATTTGTGCCGTCTTTTACAGTCGAATGATGCACATCATTACACTAACAGCCACTTTAAATATTCGATTTTCCCGAATTTTAGATGCCTTTTTTTCCCCGTAAGTTAGAATATTAAAAGTTCAACGTACATCATTAAGAAATTTAGTTTTTCTATTACATTAACTATCTACAGAAATAAAAGCAGATCCATCTTGACTGCCTTCACTCAGAATCATTTTTCGAGATCAATGGCAAAGTGGTTCCAAGTTCATAATATCAATTCACCAATTCTTATATCTCATCCAACTGTGGAGTCTCACCCGACCTATGAATCTCGCTCCATTTTTTCTGTTTCAAAATATAGTATATATATTTTTTTTATTGGATGAACTATACAACACTATTACTTAACATTTTTTAAATACTTATAGTATTAATTAATTTATTATATTTTTTGTCGATAATTTTACTTCAGCATTTTTTTTTTGTTTCGTTCTAAATGACCGAGTTTACATTTAAAATAAAATATAAGAATCCGATCTCACTTTTTTTTTCTTTTCATTGGATAGCTTTAAGATTTACCAACTCAAATATATAGATAGATAATAGTAGGATTTATATTTAACGAGCTGAATTACCCGGCGTTGGTCGGAAAAATAATTGTGATCGTTCATTTTTTTTTAGAGTGTCTCTCGCTGTGGAAAAATGTTTGTATGAGCGTAAATCACCCAAAATAAAGAGTTATCTGACACATAAGACTCTTGACTAATAAAAATAAAAATAATAATAAATATCTATATCTAAATTTTTTTTTTTTTCAAGCCCTATAGATTTTTTGCATTTATTAAAACATAACTACACTAAATTAAATATTATGGTAACTAACTAAAAATAAAAATAAATTTATATTTATTTTTTTTTTATTAAATTAATTGTTTCAACAATTTTAGTTTTTGTTCTTTTAATGATTTAAACATTCAGTTAAAAATTGATAGGTCCATATGAATGTTAATAAACTACGAATAAATTGCCATACGAATAAATAAATAAAATATTAAAGAGTAGTAAATATTACAAACATTTTATGTTGAACACCAAGTTTAACACGCAGTCGATTTTATGTCTAAATTTCTGGATTACTACGCTCGTATAGAGTTGCGATACTCTATGATTTCCACGAGAATTGATTTGTGACGATGCTGTGGCGATTTCATGCACTTCAGGGTAATTTTTTTGATAAATATGAGTATGTTAATTTCGATATAGTTTTCCGGATATTCTTTTACTACTATTACATTATCTTTAAGATTAGTTAGTATGTACTTTTTTGCAACTTGTTTTATTTGATATTTTCTCACTTTATTGGTACACCTAGTATGCTGCTTTTTATTTTTTACCAATGGTACTGGAGTAGAATTTTGTGGAATGTAAAGAATTTAAACCGGTAAATATACATTACCGCTATTAATATTTTCAGTTATATGTAGTTTTTTACGGGAAATGTTTTTGTACCGAATTTTACATAAATATTTTGATTATAATAAACCTTAATTAAAAATAGGTAAATTCTATGTGCTTTAATCAATTCGCAAATATTAGAGTGAACAAAATTAATTAAAATTTCATGGGCATAATCGGTGAGGTGTCAACGGGCTGTTTACAATAATCTGTTTAATCAACATTTCAATATATTTTTAACGTTACTATGTATCTAATTACGCAATAAAAATAAATCAGTTTTACATTTTCTTACCCTATTTTTACACCTAGCATGGCGCTTATAATTTTGAATCGATGGTCGTTAGCATTGTAGTAAAAGTTTGAAATAAAAATAAAAATTATAACTGTTAATATTCTTAGTTAGACACAGTCTTAGAGAATCCTGTTTTACCAACTACCACAATCAAAAGTAAAATTTTTAATAATGGTTGTAATTACTTTATAATTTGTTTATATACTTTTTATACATAAAGATATTATTTTACGAATATAAAAATTCAATTTTAATTAAATAATGAATAATTACTATATTTGATAGAAAAAAAATACCATGTAGGCATAGATGCATACGGTTCATCAATATATAGCAGTACGACTGTAATATAAACATACCCTGAAAACTTCAAATCGTTAGCTATCATGCTGTTACGCTGTAACGTTATCAAGCTATGCATTGATTATGAATCAGTCAGTTAGAATTTCTTACTTTATATATACAAATGTTCGGGTGTAAAGTGCTTAAATAAATATAAACATTTACAATTTAATATTTATACGATGCATGTTTTTTTGATTACAAGAAAAACATTTTTTGTTTTATTTAAAAGTTTGTTTCCGTGTTAAACAAACATACACACACACACACACACACACACACACACACACACCCGTACACGTACACATGCATTATATTGTATATACTCACTTCTATGGTGATGCTGTCAAGCCAGTTGCCATTCACGCACAGATCAAACGAGTCAATGCCAATAAACCAATCCGGTGAGGGAATCATGCGTGACATCAATGACACCTAAACAAATAAAACACATTTTGTTTTTAGTATGTATAATATATATATAATATATCAGCGCAGCAAGTATATAAATACATTATAAATTCTTGGGAGATGAAGCGAAGGAATAATAATAATGGTATGACAACGATTTTTTCTTTTAAAAATTAAATTTTTTTTTATGGGTCAGTATATACTTAGTACTTGGTAGTAGTGGTGCAATTCAAAAGTTGTTTGGGATCGTATTAAGTTAATTGAAATCCGAAAACTGCAGATGGTACTATTTTTGTGTGTGTCAAACTTAAAAAATTGTCAAATACTTGAAATATTTGATAACTTTTAAACTCCAAAAATATATATCAACACTAGGAATTAAGACGTTCCAAGGAAGAAAAAACTGTGTTCATGTAAAAAACAAAGTTAAAACATAATATTAAAATTCGAATAAATATATTTTAAGTATAACTAAAGGTGTATAAATGTTCATTTAAACTCTAATCTTTTTTGCAGGTGAATTTTTCCGATTTAGTCTCGTTCAATGTATGTATTAAAAAATCTCGATGGAACATTGTACCCATAATGGTCCCTAACTAGTGTAATAAAATTAAAATGTTATCTTCTTTGTGAGTATTGCGAAAGATAAATTAAAGTAACGAGATTGACGATGATCACCTGCTGAGTATTTAATTTAAAGTTTTATGTTTTAAAATACATTATACTTCGCTGATTTCTTTTCATGCTTTGCACTATATCATATTATAGGTGCACTTATTTTAAGTTCAATGACGTGAATTAAAAATCCGAAATAAATTATATTTCAGGGAGAAAAAACGACCGAGGAGGGGAGGAACTTGTGAACGATTCTGGTCCGGTAATTTCGTTCGGTAGAATATGATAGAACGATTCTGTCATTTTTAGGTACGTGATATCATTATCACAAGCAAGTTACACTATTTTGCCAGATATGAGATAGCTTTTGTCCACCAGTGGAATTTGTTTCATGAATTCATTTTTCAAAATGTTGATGGTATACGTGTACTATATATTATAACGATAGAGTGTCTGTACATATGGGTTCACATACAGAGTGGTTACGCTAGTAGGCGTTTGGTATGCGCCTAATAACGGCACCTTACAGCCTGCATTATAATAAAGAAAAATTATTTTCCCTTTTTTCAACCGAGTAAAATTGCTTATACTCGTATTCCAGAGTATCTGGACAAAAGTTTAAACAAAAATTATTTATGACATTTTTGCGTAAATAATGAATAATTAACACTGATTTGGTAATATTTTACTCATCAATAATGTTGATCAGATATTTTAAATAATGTTACAAATCGTTACGTTGAGAATTGAGTAATATGAATCACCCTATGGTGATTTCAATAATTTCATATTTGAAATTGCATGTAAAATTACACAATTATTCATTTTATCTGCATATTTAACTTAGAAGTAATTTTTCTATTTTAAATCGAATATTTTATACAAATTTGAGTGTCAAATTATATTCGTGTCGATTTTAAGTAATGAGAACAATAAAATCAATAGAATAGAGCTATTTTAATCTTAAAATAATATTGAAGAGTACTACAAAGAAATTCTTTACGAATCTGAGAATAAAATTACTGTCCGCAAGTCCTACCTTAAAATAATGCGTTACACTGTTTATCCCAAACGATTTTGCGTATTCACAATCCATAGTGGAACATAATTGTTTAAAAATTGTAAATAGCTTTTCTATTAATCATCGAAAAAAAATCATCCCGAAGAATGGCGATTTTGTTTTGACGCTAGAAAAGAAAAGAAAAATATACTGCTTAATATATTATAAGTTGCACTAGTGTCGGGAATATTATGTGTGATATACGATTTTATTTTTCATCCTGTATGTACCTATATATGTATATATATCGTAAGCGACCTAAGTGAACAAACATATTAGACCACTACCACGTCGTATGTACGTGTTTGCAATATTACGAAAACGGCGTAAGTAACTTTTACGATTTCCCGGGATGATTCTCAGGATTTTCAATTATACACCGGGAATTGGATGAGCTGTGGCGGCGGTTGCAACGAGGTGGGTTGGAGGATTGATGTGGGGTAGAGGGAGGCAAAATGTCGGGTAATCGGCGGAAAATTAATTCCGTATATCGGTGGCGGTGGTAGCAGTGCAAAGCGGAGTGAAGGGAACTTGAATGAAAATAAACAGAACAAATTTACACTTGAACAATTGCAAAAACGGTGTAAATGTTCGATGCTTTTTTTTTTCTACCCCTGTGAAGTACGCACGCGTCGCACTGCTCCTCCGCGACACTGTATATATACCACCGTAATCAAATTATCCGTCGGACCACTCCGTCGGCGAGAGGGATAAATAAATTTAAACTCTTATTAAAGTTTTCAAAAAAAAAAAAAAAACCTTTGTAATTCTGTAAAACGAAAAATAACCCCACTACCTCAGCACTCTGTTATACACATCGTTATAAGATATATACGAGTACATATATACGTATAATTTATTAAAACATGTATAAAGACGTCGTACGCAGGATGATGTGTGTCGAGTCAGTTGCGGATTTTAATTATAACGTGAGGGAAAGGGTTCGTTGAGTCGATCGCTCTCCACCCTTTATACTTTTTTTTTTATAATTATAATATGACAGCTGGTACGATACCGACTCTTAGCCGGCCAGTCATGAGAATTTTTGGTTGTCAGTGAAATTAATTTCGGAGAAATATTGATTCCAACACGGTAATAAACGGTAGTCAAGTACAAACCATGTGTTCGGACTAAATTCAAGAAGCACAATCGATTGATTTTATTCAAATTAACTTATTTTGAAATCCATGGTGATTAAACAAATAGAAAATATTTTAGTTGACGATTTTGACAAAAACAAGTCTAAATATTATTGAATTAAGATCTAGTTCATTCCAGCGAGTGAAATTCGATTTATTTGATAACATAACATATATATATATATTCCTTAATCTATTTTTCCATAGGTTTAATATCGACGTTCAGATCTCTAATAATGTAGTAATCTCAGTGGACTTTAGTAATCAATTTAATCTGGCTAATAATTGTCATCGCTAGGCCACTTTATGGAATCTAATTGAAAACAATGTTTTAACAAATTGTTTTTAGTTTTTTGGTGCAAGTCTACAACAAAAGTGTAATGCAACAATTTTTTGGTTCAAAAATCGGCCACATATGGTACTTTAGAATTATCTTAGAAGGTTTTCTGTTTAAAGGAAAAACTGAAAAATTCCAAATTAAATATTATAATATTTATACGAATAAATTAATTTCGTGTATTATATAGCTTTAAAAAGTCTACGCAAATCTAACTTTAACTTATATTAAAAGCATTTTTTATTAAATATTAGTGACAAATTTTGCTTGGAAGTGTTATATTTATTCAAACTCATCATCATCACTGAATTCGACATGGAAAACGTATGACTGCATGTTTGTCTCGGCACTATTTCAAATTCATAACGGGACAATAAAACGGGGGATAAAAATGAAAAAACTAGGGAGCCATTGCACTCGCTGTCATCTCCAAATGGTGCCACTGATGTGCGTACATTATTCAAATGACTTTTAAGTATAAATAGGCACGCATGAATTGTAAGAATATAATAACATCAACTGTAGGTAAGTAGTACATCAATAATAATAAAGATGGTCCTTAGTTATAGAGGTAAATTGTTTTCCTTATACATAGCTGCGATGACCTCTAAAATATGTTTATTGTATTAAAAAAATAATTTTGAATTTTGAACGAAATACGTCAACTCCTTCCCTTACCATAAAGGGGGTATAGTTTAGTAAAAAAGTGGAATATTTTTAGTTTTTTTAATATACACACTTCATTTATAATGTTATGCAAAAATCATAAGAATCTTTATTGTAACAATTAATATTATCTAAAAAAAAAGGGAATTAATAAATTTATGTAAAGGTGGCTATTTTTTTTTTATAAAATCAAAAAAAACCCTTAAAAATTAAAACTTCAGAAAAATTGATCGATTTTTAGTTTTTTAGATTTTTATTTATATCTTATATTTCTTATAAAAAGGTTATTAAATTTATTATTTGAGGTGTAATATAAATTAAAGTTAATAATTTATGTTAATAAAAAAAATATTGGGTATATAGTGAAACCTCTAAATACAGGACGCTGTTGGTAACTGAAATTTGGCCAGGTTTTATTAAACTAAAACTATAAATTAGAATAATTGTAGTTTTATATTAATCAAATACATACATCTAAAAATTAACATTTTTGAAAATAATACGTTCGTTTTGGTATCACAAATATAACTAAATACTACGACAGCGCATTTCACAACATTTTGTAAACGTGAAAATAATTCAACGACTGGATGGATAAGATATATAGATCTTATATAACCTATAGGTACTATATTGTATAATAATGTATGAAATAAAATATAACTTAACGGTGTAGACTTTTATTTAAGTATACCATTTATTCTTAATTTACGATAAAAATTATCGATTTCAAAAATTGAAACGTCATAAAAGTGTCCGTTATTTAGAGTGTATTTAGAGTATTTCCTATAGAAAAGTAATGAAAATGTTCTCGTTTCCGAAATAATGTCCGTTATTCGGAGGTGTTCGCTATTCAGAGTTGTTCGTTAAGGGAAGTTTCCCTGCATGTGGCGGCGGAGTTTATATCATTAGTCGTATTCAATTAACCAGGTTAGCGCAGGGGCGATAAGGAGCCGTTTATGTAGTTTTATATTTTTAACATGTATATATACGCCACATTCGTCAAGAGGAATTACGTCACCTTATACGTATATATATATATATATATACACACTTCTTAGTTAATTAAGTTTGCGCCGAAAATGCCGTTTATTCTTCGTTCGTGTGGCGGTACGGGGTGTTTTATTTAAGGGCGCGCGGGAGACGCTTCTTCTCAATTATTATTAAGCTCGGCAGTAATAATGATAAAACCTTCACGTCCGACACCCGCCCCGTGCCTCCACGACGCGACGACCTTTCGCCCGCAACTTTGGCGGAGACTCTGTGGGTTAATCAGATTAAAATGGACGGAACATGATGTTTCTGCGCGCGCGAGTCACCGGCTGTACGTTTGTGATCCGAGCGGCGCATTAGAAATAAGTTAAATAAAAATACCGCGCACGCTGAACGTCTATGTTATTGAATTATCGATGTTATACATTGTACTATCGTTATTATCATCGTCATTGTCTCGGCATCGTTTTCAAAGCACACACGTGTACGTAATTATGTTTAAACGCACGCGCACGAGACACGGGAAAAATACTATAGATGCACGCGTATTGTACGTGCAAAACAGTTGAGTGCGTGTGAGATGACTTGTTCTTCGTAACCGGTAACAGTCGCATTACGGGGGTTTCATTCTCAATTTTGAACGCTGAATATCGGTGGTGTGAAATTATTGTATTTCAAGTGCACCGATACCTGCAGGTGTTCGAGCTATGTTGCGTTCCGGGAAGAATTTGAATTCTTGAGTTGGTTCCAAATGGTTTCTTCGTTTGATGAATTGTATTCCAAAAACGCCTATATGCAATTTTTTCCGCGGTTTTTTGTTGCCGTGATATTTTAAAACGCTGTTTGTTCATGGAAAAGTTACCTAATATATGGGCAACATCATGTTTTATTATAAATTATTTTTACGTTTAATTTCAATTTCGGTTTTAAAATAAGCTAAACACATGCTCAGTTATTAAATACCAGCCACGTTAGATAAATATAATTTAAATTTTAGTTTAAAAAATTCATATAGTTGAAGAAAAAAACTGGCTCACCATGTTTAAATTAAAAATATCCGTCACATACTTGATACGACTTCTCTTTTACATAAATCCTTACACATCGTATTCATGTATTTATGTTTTAAAATGGTGTAGATACTATTATATAATATATGTACTTCTGTAAATCAACATAGTTCGGTCAAATTGTATTATAAAAATATTGTGTCATAACGAAGATTTCGATATTTCGGTGTTTTCAAACATAACACATAATAATTATCTTGAGATAACTACCTCAATATCCTATATGTACGAGTAAAATTATTTTATATTTTATCGATGATTAAAGATTTTAAATAATTATATTTATGTTATTTTATGTTTGTATTATAATTATTTTACGTATGTATTATTCTTGTAATTGTATACCGCGCAAATACTTCCTATGAAGAATGGAAATTAACTTTTGTGATGAAAATTACGAATGGTTTATGTGAATGGAGAACGCGATGTTTCCGTGCTTTCACATGTCGCACTAACTAGAGTGGTACGTTAGAAGTTTAAGATCAAAAGTTAAACAAAAATACTGTGTGCACGCACAGTTAAAACTCTACAACGATATTATATTATTATAACCGTTATTATCTTTTTTCGTTTTTTAGACGTGGATAAAAAATGGTACACTTTAAGTTTATAATGTATTACAGAAAATACTGGTTTTTCCTAAGTAATTTTTTTTACTCTATTTTCTACATCATTATTATTGTTAATTCATATTTTGTGGTTAACATTTTTTATAGTTAAGAATTATAAAATACTGTAAAAAAAAAATATCTCTTGAATATATTAAAAAAATTTATAAATATCTATATAATTTATGTGATAAATTTAATATTACTTTTTTTAAATCGTTTTTATAAGAATTTTACTTTTATTGTTGCATTACGTGCGCTTATAATTTTGTTTATTTGATATAAACAAAAGTGCGTATTGTGCACGGAATAGTATAGCCCTCAAATATTTTCTATTTATTTTAAAAATAAGTTTATAATATGCGATAGATACAAATTTCTTGTTCGAAAAATTTAATTTTTCTTCGATTTAAGTGTTTGTACACTTCGCAAAAATGTAATTGCGAACGGAATGAAATCAAATAAAATAAGCACTTTACGATATTTTTTTTTATCTCAAAGCCTCGGCTTAATAAATGTCGGAATAAAATGTAACATTTTACATCATAAAATATTTTAATACTAAATTAATAAATATTGTTTTATATTACTTGTTAGATAGTACTACTACATAGTAGAGTTAAAACACACGACTGTATTTTATATTTATATATGAAAAAACGTTACCCTTCAAATTTGAAATTATATGATATTAATATTATTTTACATTATATATCAATACACTTATATGGTTGTTAGTTTACTTAAAAAAGAAAAAATATTACACATTATACATCTAATAAGTTTGGGAATAGTATCCAGACTTAAAAGTATAAAGAAAGCGCGGTGAGTTTCGATTTTAAATTACTTAGTACTTGAAGTCTTTGGTATATGTAGAGATTTGATTGTGACATGGCAAGTTTTTTCTCATTCAAAACCATGAAATAAGCAAATCAAAATTTCATATGATAATAAAATGTTATGAATAATTAATATTGATAATTTGATCAATTAATTATTTATTACTTTTTAATTTTATTCATAATTTTATTATATTACATTAATAACTAAGGATCAACTTTAATAAATTATATTTATGTCAAATAAAATATTTTAAATGTCAATTTTCGAATTCAATAATAACTTTTGACGTATATTTATTCGCAATTCCAATTTTATAATTAAACTATTTCACTACCGATTAAAAAGCGTTATATATGTTCATTCAGATAATCTTGTTGACAACATATTCTCAAATTTTATCTTTTATTTTTAACTATCCTTTTTCCTGGACGCCGAGTTAACCAAATAGACTTAGTAGATATTATTGTAGCTGGAAGATGAAACAAATGTTTGAATATATATTATCAGAGGCATATTTTCAAATTTTTTAGGGAGGATTTAAATTTTTTCTAAATAATAATTGATTTTATAATGTTATAAAAATTACATATAAGGTATGAATTATTAATTATATTATTATATAATTATTATAAATAAAAATTAAGAGTTATTTATAATTAAATAAGGTAAACAATTTTTTTTTTTTTTTTTGTAGCCAGTTTATCAACAATTTCTTCAGTTGCTATTAAGTGGTTTGTGATCCCCCCCTCTAATTTACAATTAAATTTCTGGTTTATATACGTCTTCATAAAACTGAAGTCAAATTACATAGCTGCTAAAAATTTACTTTCAATGTAATTGTGATATGTTTATATTTATATTCACAGAGAAATAATCAATTAAGCTATACATTCAATAATACATATATTATTATTTTTGTTCTATTTAACAATAACAAGTAAACAATTTAAACTCAATTAAAAACAATATTTGTGTAACTTGTAATTTAAAATGTAATACTTATTATGTATTCTAAATGCATTTTTCAAAAAAAGTATTTTAAAAGTATTAATATAGGCGTATACGTCTCCTTATTTGTTTTAAACTTTACTCGTGACAAGTATTTTGAATTACGCAAATGTAAAGCATAACAATCATTTAAAATGTAAACGAATATAAGAATTTAATTATAAATACATGCAGGTACATTTATGCTTGTCTAAATTTATAAAATCGCTTTGTTTTCGTGCGATGTACAATAGATTAAAAAAAGTTCGAATCTTTTTCGAAAAATTATCCATAACATTGAAGTATAGATTCAGTGTAAAATTATTCTTACGTTGATAATATACATACAGTTTAGTAAGTTAATTTTTCTATGTCTCAACAATTATCTGTTAATATTGAGTAAAATTATATATTTTATAAATTTAGAATGTTTTTAAAGTGTTCTAATATTTTCTGAATTCTGAATGCTAAATTAAAGTGTTGGCAGTACAGAAAATTACGAAAAATACACATTTTAAAATTTCTTAGCGTGTTTACAAGACGTTTGTTAATCTGTATAATATATAAATAATACTAGAAGTATTAACTAAGCCCGGCTTTTTTAGAGATTCAAAGCTTTATCATTATGAATATACGTTTGCTACGAACACGAAATGTGTGCACAGAAATCAGCTACAGTTAAGGAATTAGTATTCGAAGTTAAATTACGTAACGTATAATAAGTATTGATGTAATTGTTAAATGCGGTCAGACCTTTCATCGTCCGGTTGAATTGATCGTCTTAGCAGTAGTTATCAAGCGTTAACTTTAAGAACTAGACCCAACGATTTAAAAATCGAAAAATGCGATTGCGATGATCATTTTAAATTTTCGTAAAACAGGTTCACATATGAAACGCATTTCGATTCCCACTCTCGTATCCAACACTCCAACCAATTGCAGTTAAAGAAATGGAAAAATTCGGAAAACCGTTTGAATCATATTTGTGTCAGAAACGCGATTAGAAGAGTGGCAGGCACATCCGATCGCCCTGCACAGCTTCGTAATCAGCCACGCGCCTACGTCCTCCATCAAGGGATCGTCTGGAAAACACACCACCGCGTATATCAGGTATAGGCTACTGGCGGCCTGCATACTTTTTTTTTATCTGACCCTTGCTATATTTTAAATTACTTCTTAACATTTCAACGTTTATCGGTATTTCGTTTTATCGCATAGATCGTAAAACGAAAACACTATATTTTCCCTAGTACTGAACTGCAGCTACTTCATTAAACGTCTAAATATGATGTATATCCGTATTGGCATAGCTAACATAGCTAATAAGTATTGGGTAAGTATTGTATTGGTTCGGTCGTAAAATAAAATTATATAAAACAAACGCTATTTGTCAATTTTAACGACTTTTTTTTTTTTTAATTTTTGCTTTCCGCTTAACCGACCCGCCAGGTTTTAAAGTTCTACGAACCGGCCCTATAGTTACTTTACCCTCCCTGGCGCGTACGAACCGGGCGGGCCAGCAGTGGCGTCGTGGATGTACGTTCCAGCGAGGGTTGCTCTCGGTCAAATCGCGGCGGCACTCACCCGGGAATGGTTTCCGTCGACGAAGAACTGCGCTTGTGTCCTCGTAGCTCCGGTCGTTACGCTGGGCGCCATGAACGCATCCAGTACGGTCTCCTCGCCTCCTCCGCCGTCGTCTAGTTTGTCGCTGCGACCGGTCTTGGCGAACATACGAACACCCTCCGATGCGGGCGCGCCTTCCCGGAACATCGTGTAACCTCTGGAATGCGATCTACCTGCAAGAATCAATCGTTCGTTTCAATTATTCATCAATAAATAATAATAATTATAATAACGATCGATAAAGCCAACAAAACTTATTCTCGTTATTTTTGCTTTTTTTCCCTCCATTATTACACGTCGAATACGGTTTTCGTGAAACCACCCACTTGGACTACCGAAAAAAGTATAAAGTTATCCAGTCAAGTTGCCGTCGCCAAACGGTCGTAATTGTTTACTAATCGACAACAATTGATCGCAATCATTCAGATCAACGTGCTTATAGTCGTTGCACTAATCAATGACTTATCAATAAAACGGTAACGACCAATTTTATTTTTTACTGATTTGCCTTTCCGAAAACTTGTTCATTTACTTATATCGATATAAAATAAAACGAGCGAGTCGGTCAACATTCATTAAGTTCCTCGGATTATTTCTAATTAATATGTATTATTATCATAAAATAATGTGTATCGGTTCTCTTTTCTAACTTATCGAAATACACTGTATCCAATAACGGAATCCGTTATCGGAGTAGATACGATTTTTTTTTACCAAAATTCTCTTTTAGGCACAGTTATCAAAAATTAATATGTTGATAGCATACATAATCGTGTGTTATTATAACTAATTATTATAAGACATTTTGTAAAATAATCTAACAGCAATTTTCTTAAGTATTACACTAAAACTAATATTCATACCTCCAAATATTTAAATACTCAATCATCAATCATTATTTCCAATACGACATTCATTAACATCAACATTCTTTTTTTTTTTAAATCAAAATGTATGGTTTGATGTTGGTATGAAAATAATTGATTTAAATTTTTTTTTTCCAACACTATAAACCTCCATAAAAGGCGCATAAAACACATTTATGTTATAGACTTATAAACAGCGTAACACTTAAATATTTTTTAATGTACATTCTAAAACTTGTTAGTACACAGAGTATGACGTAGCGTACATGCAAATATATAGTTACCGATTACCAATACTATGTGGCCATAAGCGTGTACACGGGGTAGTTAGGGTAGGCACTTGACTACTATGTGAACCTTCCCTTCCTCACCAAAATATTCAATATTATCACAATAATAAATAACCATATTATGTTCAACCACTTCGAAATGTCCGTAAATGGTAAATACTCGTATAAGAATATTGGAAAAATATATTTAGTTAAATTAATTTACCCCATTCAAATTTGTTGTTAATATTAAATGATAATAATGTGTTACGTATGACCTGCTAGTAATATCTACGGACGCTTATGTATGCGACAACGGAGGCGAACGACTGCAATTGAAAGCGCGTGAAACAATATTGATAGTGATATCACAATCAATAATGTACCGTCGAATAAAAATAATTGAACTGGGTTTGGGATCGCAATTTATGTCAAACATGAACGCGTAATGGCATATATTAAATATGTAAACGTGCTGGTATTCTGCTACTTCACAATAAATGAAATAGAATGGAGATTGATGGCACGTTCTCTATGTCTTGTCGTCTTAGTTATTGCTTTCCAATGTCCGCTGATTGATAAATATACATTATGAGTCAGATTACGTTAAAAACTGTATTTTAGAATGAGACATGGGTTGAAGGTATAACCGGGAGAGGGGCGAAAGCGCAATTAAACAGTCACTGAATACATTTATTTTAAACTAATAATTTTTCAACGAATTTTATAATATAGATAAAAACGCAGAGTTTCATAAAATATTAGTTGGTGAATTTTTTCCGGTTATAGGCATATGGAAAATTGCCATTCCACATAAAATTACTAGGCTATGAAAAAAATAACAACATATACATTTTTTAATAATATTTTTGAGACTGAACGAAGCGATGCTTTTGTACAACACGATGTCTGCTTATTTTTAGAAAAAAGTTTTTAGGAAATAAAACACAGAACGATTTTCATGCATAACCTTTACGTAGATTGTAAATAGAATACACAGTTAGTTGCGTTTGAAAGGAATCATTTTTCCTCTATACAGCGGTAGATCTTCAGATTACTGTTAAACTTCGTAACGTAACACGACGATGGAACGTAAGGGAAACTAAAATTTTCCTGGGCGGATGATTTTGGTTTTGAGTAATATTGTGCCGTTTTTATACTACGTTAATACAGCATAGTAGACATTTTAAATAATAATACACAACTATGATGTTCTGCGCCAACGCGTGTCGGACAAAATAATTTTATTAACAAATTACTATTTACTCATATTACACTTCACATGTTACAATAACGGGTAAACGTTATAAAATCAGCTGATAATTTAAAAAGTTTCAACAACTACTACTTAAAAATGTTACGTGCGTGGTCCTTAATATATATGCTACCTAAAAGAAAAATGAAACAAAACTGACTAATGGTCACTGAATGCTTATTTTGCTACAAAAACAATAATCATCTAAAGTAGTTTCGTCTAATGAATGAAAAGAAGTACATAATTTTTTTAGTAAAAATCAACGGGTCATAAAAAAACAAGATTCAAATAAGTATACATTTAAAAACTAATTATAAAATAAATTATTATGTTATAAAAAAATTATGAAAAAAAAAAAAAAAAAAACTGTAAAAATTAGCTAATTATCTCAGTTATGTATTTTCGTCTGGAAATTTTCTATGAAAATACAATTGCTCTATATTGGTTCTCATAAATAATATTTATCAATAATATTGTTCCTATATTTTTTCAGTAAGTATTTTTATTATTTTTACTATATTTAATATTTATTACATGTGATATATCCAGTTGTTTTTGAGTAATCAGTAACATAACGTTCACGTTTGATTTATATTCTAAGATTTATAAGTTATTTTATTTTTAGTAGAATCACGTAAATTCTACCCTAAAATCGTACTCTTATACTAGAAAATTAAATCCCATAGACCAGTCTTTCACTAAATTCCTCGATCTAAACTTAGACATAAATACATTATACGTGACTTATAAGCAGGGAGGGGTTTAATGGTGCTTAGAACTGTCGATAATTTTCTGCACCCGCAGAATCGGTATTACAGCTAGTAGATACACGATTTAAACTAAAACTCTCAATACACGTGTCAAATTCAAAATAATAACGTATAACCTTATCTGAATTCTATATAAATAATATTTTACTAAAACATCAACTACTTAACACAAAATTACTAATTTTGATATATATTTTGGATAAATATGTATTTCATGTGACACCTATATTAAGAGCTTAAGTATAAGCATGTTCAATAGATTTTATCTTTAGAATTTCACGTAAAACAAAAAAAAATTAAACCAAGGAAGTTCTTCTTATGAAATGTATATTCACCTACGGTATTATTAAGAGCCTGCACTCCTGGTACTGACATTACACTGTCACTGTACATTGTCTTCATTATCTTAGAATTTTCGATCTATCGAATTTTTTATTTTTATTTCTTTTCTTCAGTCTCCAGTTTTCTAGTAAGCAGTGTAATCATATTTATTGTGTTTACTGGCATAAATAACGTGAATAATTTTTTTTTTTTTTGTAACGAAATGCTGCTACAGTAAGTGACGACGACAACCGTATTTTCATTTTCACGAAGATATGAAGGGGAGAGGGTGGTGCAATGGACGTTTTGTTCGCATAGCGTTTTACCTGAATTGATTAAGTTAAAACCAGTGTTGCAGGTCATTGCATTTTTTAATTAGAACTCTTTAGTCTCCTTATCGTATACAGAACTTGGGTATAGGAGATAAAAAAAAAAGGCCGGAAAAGTGATTTTTTTTTTTTATCATTGTTAGCTTCGGATTCAGAATTTAGTAGCATTAAAAGGGTCAGTTCCCGCGTACATGTATGTATATATATATATATATATATACTCGTGTATTATTATACGTAGGCCTTTCAAACGTATATAGCATGTCGGAATGGACTTTAGTCAGACAAAAGGGACAAAGGATCTCTCGCCTATGATCATTAAGTTGTACGGTGTCGTTGTTGCGGTGTCCCACAATATTGTGGATATTTTAATCAAACCGATCAATTTTAGTCTTACAGTGCAATTGTTAAAACGCATAAAATCGTGTTTCCACAGCATTTTCATTTTATTTCCGATTCAAGTATTTTTATATGTTCGCTGGATAAAAATACATGGTTTTTTCTTCGACATTTATAACGAATCACTACATATTATAATATTAGAGGTGCCCGTGTTGGCTATGGAGTAAATTATATAACATTTATGTACATGTATCACATGGTGTGACACAATATATGTACGTATTATCTTAAATTATATAGTGCATTGTAAAACACAATTCAACGAATTCTGTAAAAAACATGAACGTCACGTTTGAAAAATTATTCCATCGCAGAATAATATCAACAAGTTTGTGTAAATATTACACCAAACATAAGCGCATATGATAATAATATATTCGACTAATAAGTTATTTATTTTTTTTTTCGTTCCCGTGACTTCATGCATATAGAGGTGATTACATGCAAGACTTTGTTGCCATTAATTTCACCTTTCTCCGTATTATAACTTTGTAAAAAAATTAATTTCACACGTTGATACTTATCCTATTCCGTCACACCTCTAAATACGAGTAGTAGCTATTTGCTTGACAAATACGTATGTGTATCATTTAATACTTTACAGTCACCGTAGTGTAATATAGTTATACTGGATACGTTGACAAAACACAAAACATCATACTATCGCGATGTTGTAATTACGGTGTAGTCAGAGGGTATATATTCTTTATTTGATTTTGAAGAAAATACTTGGAATAACTTTACCTGATCAAAAGTTATTAGTGAGCAGATAAATATTTTAACTATGAATTGTTTACATAATTTCAGTAATACTATATAGTTTTATTCTTATTTAATATAAATAAAAATAAAATTTGAAATCGGTTGAATTTTGAATGAATGAGAGCATTTTATATTTTAAAAAAATTTAGCAAATTGTAAGATTGTATGGTTTCTAAACTTTTAAATAGATAGTTAATAA